GATAGTCAATCTATAGCGAAACGAATCTCAAACATGTCGAAAAATTTCTCGCGGCGATAGAAAGTATAATATTTGTCGAATTCTTTTGTCATGAGATTTTTATTACTTCAATTTCCTGTATGAATAAGTTTCCATTTGGTTTTGATTCTCTATTATATCTCTATCGTTAAAATAATAACGAATTTCTGATAAATTTAAAAATACAGCAAAGTACAAAAGATTATCGTTATATTTGCTATTAACTGCATACGATTCTGATGGTATATTCATGACAACGTAGCAAATTATTTTCCATGCAAAGTTCTCTTTGTCCGATTAATCATTTCACGATGTCGAGCAGGGCAAACTTTCCGCTCTGCTCGCAAAAAAAAAAAAACGGGGAAAAAATATCAAAAAAGGGGCGAGACCCGCGAGACAAAGAGCGCGCGGTACGCGGAATCATTCTATTTCCCGAGTTCGATGACGCACCCCCGGGTCTGGTGCCAGGCCCGGGAGCTCCACCGATGATCAAGGGTGATGCGGGAGAAAGAGGGACGAGGGTGGGCTCGGCAAGCGGCGGTGGAGCTTCGATTTCAAATTTCCTATTTCCCGACGAGTTGGCCTGTGTTGAAAACGTAGCGTGCAACGTAGCAACGCACACGCGAGAGAGCGAGAGAGAATTGCATATACTCTCGACACAAATCCCGGGGGGAGAAGAAAATGACGGTGGAACGCGGCGGCGACGGCCGGGGGCGGCGGCGCCACGGCGAAACACCGGCAACCCCGCTTTCGCCGAGTATTTTTTCGATGATTTTCGAGCTCGCGTATGTGTATCGTACATGCATGCGTTCCTCCACGCGTACACATACGAACGGCCCTATCACCCCCTTCGACTGGGTCTAAGAGCGGTAACGACGAGTGAGAAGGGGGGAGGGGCGGGTGGTAGTCGGCGGCGGAAAGGCGTTAGGGTGCCCCTGGGTGGAAAGAGGAGGTGGTGCAACGGTGTCGGTGGTTGCATGAACCGGTTGATAGATAGAGAGAGCGAGGGAGAGCGGTGGTGGCGTGCGAACGGAGATAGAACGGTTGTGAGATACGGCCGAGGGAACCGGGGGCAGCGGTGGGCCTGCATGCACTTTTTTTTCCGCACCCCGCGTATTGATCCCGGAGTCATTCAAAATGGCGGCCGGGGCCGAGTCAGCCAATGACTGCCTGAATCGATGACTGCAGCGAGCCACCCCCGGACCGGCCAATGGGAGGCCAATGGGAGGCCGTCGCACGCCGTTCTCTGCGGGAACTACCACCCCGATATACGAGACACAGGCCTCCCACGTTGTGTATCCTGGTACACACACAGACACACAGACACACATACACACATACCCTCGTGTGCGTGCCGTGTAGCTGTTCGGTCCGCCGGGTAGAGCTCGTCGATGACCCGGGCGACGTCAATGATTTCCGCGGAAAATTTTCCCCCCCAAAAATGGCAAAACTCGCCGTTCGCTCCAACGGCCGGGTATCCCGGACCAGAGCTCACAGTCGCTTTGATTAACGATCTTCCTATGTATATATTTCGCCCTCCCCCTGCCCATCCCCCTCGTACTTTACGGCAAATATACGAGGCAGAAAGTACTGACTGCGCAGGCAAAAATATTCGCGATCATTGACCGGCGTCTGCCATCTTTCATGACTCTCGTCATTGCCCGAAACTGCCCGCGACGGGCTTTGCTGCAAAATAAACGAGATTCGCTACATTTATAATCCTGAATCATTCGTTCGTTCTAAATCATTAAAAAGGAAATTAATTGTTTCATCGATGTTACACAAAATTCCTAACCGCGCTATGCTTCGTTTTCGTATTTTCATCGTCATCTTTATATCCGCGTATCGTGCAGCGCCTAATGAATTATTTCGTTCTTTCTTCGCCGTCAATTTAAACGATTAAAAAGGATTTGCAAATATTTAAAGACGACTCGCTCTTCTGAAGACATTTCACGTCGTCGCGTATATAGTCGCAATTTAACAATCAGCGCTTTTAAAAATTAAATTTAATACGATTACGACTTCCTCGTAGATACTTTCACGAGAAATACGGATATTTCTGACAAGTACGTTTTTCGGGCTTCAAAGCGCTGAAATTTTACGTTTATTCGTAAGAATAGTGCGCAATGTATTTTTCCGATAACACGCAAGGCGCGTCAGTTTTTTCCAGTACGACTGTCGCGATGCCGTCCAAAGTCACGATGCTATCTTCGTCACCTTGATCCTGGATCCGCGCACGCTTATCTTATCTCTCATGGTTCGCATAAAGTCTCAGAAAACACGAGAACGATAGATACGTCGGTGGTACTCGCGCGAATCGCCATCGCCATCTCGTTGGATGTTTAGGATGCGATTTAGGAATCGGGGCCGAGATCGATCGCAAGACACCGGTGATTAAAATTTCAGACCCACATTGACAGATCGATCGATCACGTCTGATCACGGAATTCGTTACCACACTTTGCGCATAGCGCGGGACAAAGAGAATGTCGAAACTGCGCGAGGCACGAGGCACACGATTGCATCACGAGTCGCAGTGTGCGGCGAGCTGCATTACGTATGTGTGTGCATATGTACTTAGATTGGCTCCTATTGACACAGCCGCAGACGACAGTGGTGGTACAGTCGGGAAAAATAGATGCGACGCGTTTCGCGGGCTCCGTGTCCATGCCGTTTCGACGACGCTCGCGTACGCACGCTGCACGACGCACGCACATACGCAAGGCCTTTGATCTAGCGACGCGCATTTGACATCCTGAATTATCCAGAATCAGTGGATATCGATTATCGACGGATCGGTTGTCTAAACAGCAAGGCACGCCGCGTTGCGCGTCGCGTATACACGCGAATTCGACCAAATCTACAATTCGTCCTTTTTAAGCGCTTTTGTCCTTTTCGCGCGGGGTAAATTATTCCCCCAACCGCGACGCGGTCCGAAATAATTTGATTCATTACGCGCGTTTGCCGCGTTTGGTTATATTTAATGCGACGATGTAGACTCGCGCATGCACGCACCGCTCGTCCCGACGAGCGTTCTCTCATATTTAATGAAAATCAAATTTAGAACCGGAACAAAGTACACCGGTCAGCGGCGAGCCGATTCTACACGTTTGCTCGATTACTGTTAATTAGCCGTCCGTCCAAATGGATCTAAAAAATTCACGAGTTGTCTCGCTATTGCCCGTCCTGTTTTTCGGATCACTGACTTTCCGCGCGACGGTTTAGGTACCATCGATGACTTCACCTTCGTTTGACATACCGTAAATTGAAGGAACGTCGATATCTGAATAACCCGCGTGACTTTCCACGAAGCAACAAATTTTATTAAAACTGTACGTTAAATAAATAATATTTAAAGTAGCATGAAATTTTACGAGACGTTAAATTGGACGTTAAATCACGTCGAGCTCACCACGAAGCGAAACGTTCACTCGTCGACAAACACGTCGTCTCGTCGACGACGAGGGGAGAAAGAACGGCCGATGCACTTTCTGACGCAGCTGTACTAAGTGCACGACGGAATGGGTTTTTCTAGCGCGGGCAGTTTTTCTATTAAGCTTCATTTGTTTCTTTCATTGCGTAATGCGCCGGACGCGTCGCTCATTTCATCCTACAGCCGACCGGCTACTCCTACCGTTAGAATTCTTAATCCGGGCCGTCAGTTTCGATGGCTCGCGTGCTGCACGTTCCTCCGATTCGCCGATTCGACGAGAATCGCGACTGTCGCGACGATCCTAATCTCATTTCCCGACGAATAAAGTAGTGTGCCCCGCGTATCACGGCGTGTCCGCCACGGTAATATGATAACGCGCATGAAGGTGGTCGTGGATTGATATAACCGATGTAACGGATCTCGGTGAGTTCAATTGTTCGACGCTGCAACTACGAGGATGTATCTTGACCGCGCGGTCCGATTCACGCTCACAATGCTCATGGGCATCATTTGTCCTTGTTGAACATTTGATGAACAATGAGAATGAAATGATTCTTAAATCTTGTAAGGGTGGGAAAATAGATTCTTATTATAAGACATAACGCATAAGACACAAAAAAAAATCAACCAATTAGAATCTTTTATTTCATGAAGAGAAAAGAAATGAAGGATAATTGATTCACTTTCTTATGTATTATGCGTTATGCAAGACTGAGCTTCCGCCTTAAGCGTGAATCGGACCGTAATTCTTAATCTGCGTATCTCGTACTTCCGTTGTCACACAACAAGAAACAGAGATGTCCCTTTCTTGCAGCTTACAAATTTTGAATTTGAACTCATTGGAACTACGCCGGTTTATTGCTCGGTAATATCTCATTATTTATTTCATACAAATTTTAAGAGATTTCTTTCTAAAGAATATAAAAATATCTAAGAATGCTACAAACTTGTTTTTAACTATTTGTAGTTTATTTTTAGATATCCTTCGCGAAATTATCACGCTACTTAAGTTTTATTTCGATAATACATCACCCGATTCTTTATACAAGTGGGTGTATTATGTGATCGTACATCTGCTCGCATTTACCATTGTCGCTTCACCGTAATCGATATTCTACCAGAGTTAGCACGGACAAAAACCTTAGGACGATTCACCCTTTTCTCCACTCATTCGTTTCCTCGTTCCTTATTTTCAGGGGTTGAGACGGGGCTACTTCACACGAGCAGCAAACGAATGCGAAAAGACCGTCCGAACAAATTATTGCGCTGGAAATCTTTTTACGTGACAGACGCGTTAAAGGAATATGAAAATTGAAAACGGATATTTAATCGGGTCGTATTAATCGGTCGTGTCAAATAACTATCCGTTTTTCAATAAAATTCTTAACACGTCGAATATTATATATTGGCACATTGCTATCATTTTTACATTTATTTTCTATTCACGAGAGAGCATTTTAAAGGTTTGATTAATAAAATTTCATCATTAATTAAAATAGAAATAACGGCCTCGTCATTTCTGCTGTGAACCTAAAAATTCGGAAGATATATGCGATATAAAGTAACAAATATCCCAACGACGTTTCCACCACCTGACGACCATCTTCGTCGACACATTTCCACGCACTCCCCCGCTATTCGTGATGAAGAAGGCGGACAATCCAAAGTAGGTAGAATCAGGCTGAGAAGACAAATGTCTTCCTACGCAAAGGCGTATACGTCCTATCGGGGTAGTCGATCGGCTCAATTCGCAGAGCGCGGAGCCGGACAACTGGCCGTCAGAGTTACAAGTGCACGTGCAACAATTCGTACGCAGCAAGTATACGTCTGTACGTCCGTTCTTGAAGTCCAGCTGCCGATCGGGATCAAGGGGGAATCGGGATCGGGATTGAGATCTAAAACGCCACGTACATAACGCACGTACGTTCGTACATACGTTACGTACGCACGCACGTATGTACGGTAGAGTAACTCGTAACGGCATACACCCACACGTCTAAGTGGGCGCGTATGTGTACCTGACAATCCACCCACCCCATAACCGAGCGCGGAGGCTCGATTCTCACCTGTTTTTATCCTCACGTACGCCGGCCGCTTCATTTGTAATTTAAAGTGAGCCTCGATTGCCCAATGCGCTCTACGTACTTATTTTCGAAGCTCCGGAGGAGCACACTCGCGCGTAGCGGACGTACGAACGAGTCCCTCCTCTCTACCGAGCCGAAATTCTTACCACGGTGGCAGCCTGCCGCGAACGGAAGTTCGATCGCGATTGCGCCCGAGTACTTTCGTACCGGAGACCCTCGTATCGGAAGTGCGATACTTTCGTCCTGTTCCTACTTTCCGCCCCGGTTCAGCGTCCGATAAACTGAATATTTTTACGTTTGGGCTTTGCAAAATTGCTCGTTGCATAATTCGCAAATGTCTATAAATAACCTCTATTTATTACGAAATTGTATCAAGACAAATTATGTTTCATTTATTAAATCTTGTTTTCGTTACGATGTTCTGAAGAACTAAAAAAATTATTTTACTTCTCTTTTTATGACTTATAAAATTGTGCCTGAAAAGAATGTCAATCGCGAAAGACATAGCTTAAGACATAAAAATAAAATTGAATTGAATTAACGAGTTGCGTTAATTGCCTGCTTCTTTTTAATTGCGCTCTGGCATATATGAGCAAAGTGTATTACATATATAATACAATAATTGATCTTGCATCAGATATCGTCGTCGTAGAATATCTCTTTAAGAAGCGAGAGACATTTTTTTTCGATGGTCCATCGCGCAACAAAGAAAGTTGTCGCGCGCGTGGCGTTGCACGTGCGACGAAGGTCACTCAATTTTTCCACCATCGTGGGGCGGCCAACCCATTGGCTAACTTTTTTCGCGTGACGATCCACCCTCGTCGCACGCGCGTTGGAAGAAACACGGATAGGGTGGACACGATGTGGGTATGAGTAGAGGGATGCGACGAGACGCGACGCGACGCGATGCTACGCTACGCGACGTTCTTTTCTTTGCTCCTTTCTTGTCGCCGCTGCTCTTCCAACCGAGGGAGGAAAGAGAGACAACAGGACGAAAGGGTGGACGCGTTATTGCGTCGTCTCGGACGACCAGCAGGGCTCTCTCGCGTGAATGCCAGAGGCAGGGTAAAGAAAAAAAGGGGTCGCGCCTCCCCACCTTCCGGACTCATACCTCCACGTGTATACCACGTGGAAAAAAGGACGAGGCCAGCGTAAAAATGCGACGCGTGGGGGTTGCCCGGTTGGTGGGGAGTCGAGGCGGCCGAGAAAGGAAGGGAAAGAAGGGAGAGAAAAGGATGTAGGAAAGGGTGTCGGGTAGCGTAAGCGAGGTTAAACTACGAAAATCGGTAGTAAGAGAGAGACAGACGAAGGCGCAAGCAGAGAGGGGAAAGACGTTAGCAGGGAAGGGAGAAATAGGAGCTTAATGCGATGGTGGGGTAGCTATGTTAGATGAGAGCTCGAGAGAGAGAGAGAGGGAGGGAGAAGAAGAGAAGGAAGGGATAGCTTGGTTGTCTACTTCGGCGAGGAGGGTGCGTAAGACGAGCAGGATGACCATCGACCACCCTTCGCCGCGAAATGAGCATCAGCGCGTCCACTGGAAAGTCGACGTCCTCCGCAAGGTCGATGATCCATGTTTAAATCGCGATTTGACTTTCAAAATGAGAAAGAGGAGGAGGATAGGAAGAGTGTTGGATGACGGATGACCGAAATGATTTGATGTTATTCGAATCCGCTTCCCCGGCCCGATCGATGGATTCGCGACACTTAATCAACTGATCGCTATCGAGCTGCGAGCAAACTTCTCGTATTAATATCGAAAATACAATTAAGAACAATGTACTTGAGCACAGAACGATTCGTAAAGAGGGATAAAAAAGAAAGCCTGCCCCACTCCCCCGCGATTAGTCACGCGTGCGTTGCCATACGGAACATGAGGGAGGAGGCCATTTTTATACGATGGTCCCCCTTCTTTTTTATTCGTACCTCAGACTGTTACACCCTCTTATACAGAAGCCCCCTACAATTTTTCGGTCAGTCGAATACCCCGATTCGTAGTGTTCGCATGTGATACGTGAGACTTATATACTCGCCGTTGAATGAGAATTCGTTAATTTGCGAGGGAGGATTGTGTAAAATCCAAGTGAGTTTATGTGACGGCAATGATCCGCGACGGTCGGGTGAAAAGTTTTCAAGGACAAACCCTTAACAAAAAGAGTATACGGTCTAAGAACCCGCTTGTCTTGGCTTCGCGTACTTACCTACGCCGGAACGTAACCGCGGAGTATAAGATAGCGATCAAAATAGACAGAGACAGATAATCGGTTCTTACGACTCTCTCCTACCCTCCTTCCGGGAGGGTTTTCTTGGCCGGGCGAAACGGAGACGGAGAGCGGCCCCACTCTCTTTCTCTCATCCCTTACGACGCTTACCCCCGTACGAGGCGTCGGCGGAGTCGGCGGCGGAGAATCCCCCACCCACCTGAGCGCGGGGTGAAGGGTGAGGAGAGTTTGAGGAAAAGGGGGAGATAGAGCGCGCGCCTCGGCGTCATGTCTGGTGGGGGCAAAGGAAAAGAGGGGTAGCTTGAAAACTCCTGTCCTACGACGGCCTCAGTTTTTCGTCCTCCCGGAGGTAGATTTTCGTCGTGGGTGGACGCGGCCGGGGTCACGAGTCGGTCCACGGTAACCTGGGCCCGCGCCCGGGCCCGTCGGACCCGCGTACGAAATCGCCGCGGTAAGAAACGGCGTACGGCGAAGGCGCCCCGAGGTGGCCAGAAATTTCGCGGCCGCGCACCACCTAAGACAACGCCCCTACCCGAACACGCGTTCTTTAAGGCACGAGGGGGTGGCTTTTAGTCAGACGCACGCGGTCTGAGAAGCGCGCCACCACCGACCCCCGACGGAGAAGGACTTAGCGTTTCTCGCGAGCCGCAGACCCGAGTCAGTTTCGGTTCCTCCTCCGTCAAGGACTCGAACGCGGAAGAGGAGAGAGCTTTTTCCCCCCGTCGTACGTCGTCGTAGTCATCGTCGTCTTCGTCGTCGTTGTCGTTACCGTCGTCGTCCTTCGAAGAGGAAGAACAGTGTCTTGGCCGATACCGTGCACGAAGGTCGCGAGCAGCCAGACCGAGGTGCAACGTATTACGCGTACTACCGACTATCACCAACCGCCGCATCTGCCCGTCTATCATCCGCACTTGGATCTCTCTAGTAAGAGATCCTTCGGATTCTTTCTCTCGGAATATTCTGTTCAACCAATCTTGTGTCGCGAGTTATGTGAACGTAACGACACTTTGCGACATCGTGCATCTAGGCCTGATTAATATACCCAATTGTTAATGCTCTTGTTATTTTCATCTTTTTCTACTTTCATATGATTTTAGTCAGTTTTCCCCACTTTCTGTCCGAGACCACCATACTGACCCACCCCCTCCTATTCCCTGTTCCGAATCCTGACATGCCCGGTACGTCATCGTCGCCGTCTCGACAGTGTTTCGTCGCGATCGCACACGCTCCGATCCCCTCTCGATTTCCGGTGTGATACGATGTGCTTCGGTAAGATCGCGAGGAAGCGAATGATGAGAAGGCGGGCTGGGGAAAGGACGAAGGGAAGCTCAATCGCCGCTATCTCGAAATCTCGTCGAAATCAGTCACGCGAATCATTAGCTTGATGCTTGCGGTCGCGGAATTATACGGTGAACAATAAACGTAACGAATCGTCATGTCGCAAGTAAACGAGTTAGCGATTATGCGAATATCCGCGCGCGTGATCATTTCGAGCCGTTAATTCAGCGAGCAGCCGACAATGCTCGTCACGTCGCGTAAACCTGGCACACGTTACCTGCAACAAATTATTTGGCATTTCATTGACATCGTCGTCAACGCGTCGACCCTATTCATTGCTCAGTGACAGACAACCTTTACGAAAAAATCTGACTGCATATTCGAAAATAATCGGAAAATAACAATATAATTCGGGAAATAGCCGCAAAAATATAAATTCTCAATTTAACAAAGAAGCAAGAACTTGTAAAAAAAAAAGATCGCGAACGTAATTCTATGTGTGAGCGGCAGTGTCATAATGTGACATCGCGTTATTCGTAGTGATGTTACATCAATGTAAATCACAACTTTACATTCCTGAGAATATTCAGTGCTCCGGAACATTTTATTTTTATCCTATTCACTGTACTCTGATTTATTGCTCATTGTTATATCGGCATTACTTTTATTTGAATAAATATTTGATTTATCGACATGTTACTCTCTTTCAGTTATAAACCTTTTCAGTTCTCCACACCAATCTTGAATTTTTACATTACATACCCGCATCTTTTCCGCAATGTCAGTGCTGAGCACCACGCGACGGCAAAAGACGTTCACGCTTTTTGCTTTCGCGTTTTCAAACCGATTGATTTTTCTAAAATGCAAAACTAATTGGAAATTCCGCGTCAACGACAGTCGGTGTAACTAAAAGGAGGGTATGAATTTGTGTAACGTTAAATTATCGACATGAAAGCTGGATGTGTCAAATGGACGAAATTTACCATGCCGCGTAATTAGTGCGTGCTTCTGACAGTGCTGGTTGAAATTATTGTTTGTGTCGCGGCCGGAAGTGTAAACCCTTCATAAACGTCAGCCGAAAGAGAATCGCATTTAACCGCGCTATAAGAGTTACCTCGCTATAAGATGATAAAATCTCGCGGCTGATATCTTTATGATACCGCGAAATTTTATTAGGATTCTTCTAATTCGATTCACGTCGCGTTACTCGGCACTCAATATTTTCGCGTTACTCGGCACTCGATATTTTCGCGTTACGACAGCTGATTTTAGGCAGTGTCATCTAGCAAAAATCAATGTTTTAAATAACGTTATGCTAACGTAACAAGAATTAGTCAAGATATTTTACATCTTAATATTATCGGATTTATAATCAAATCTTATAATTAATATTACCAAAAGTCACAGTGAATTGTGACAACCTTCGATCAAATACTTTTGAAAATGTACGTCTGATTGACGTTTGAATACACTTCGCCGATCGCGAGCAAAGACGTGTGAAACGGTTGCCTATGACATTGAAAAAATTATAGTGTTGATGTTGAATGTTCGTCGTACGTGATGTCGGACAACGCAAAAATTGTATTTTCTTTTTCTGGATTGCAGCTTCGAGCGGGAGACGCGTTGCAGCGAGAGATTCCCGCGCAGGAGAGGAAGACTGGACAAAGCGGAAGAAGCAGAATAAGACGAGCAAAGCAGAAGCAGAGGAGCAGAAGAGCGTAAGACCGAGAGCCGAACGAGTAGAAGCGGGGTTGCAAAGAAGAAAGTGATTAGCGAGTTGATCGTGCGTATCCGAAGATAGCGAGGAAGGAGATAGAGGACAGAAAGATCGGGAGAATAGAGCTACGGAAGCGCAGAGAGACAAAGATCGAAAGAAATAGAGCGAAAGAGAGAGAGAGAGAGAGAGAAAGAGCAAGAATCGGAAAAAAAGCTCGACAGAGAACCCCGCGCTCATACATATATATTTCAGTGTGTTCAAAAAACGAGTGTACCTAAGTGCAATATTAATTAAACCTAAACGATAATAAGAAGCAACCACAACTACCATCGACGATATCGGTAACGACGAGCGGTGATCGATAATCGAATAGAATTCCTTTTAAAGAGTTAAAACGCTAGAGTCGCATTTCGAGGAGGAGTCATCGACGGACGCGACGCAGCAGCTTGAAAGAAGAAGAAGATCGGAGGAAGTAGGCGGAAGCAGAAACGGAGTGACGGAAATCCCGGAGAGAAACGCTCTCGTCCCGCTTAAAAGAATTTACACGGACTCACCGATTCAAGCCGACGCGCGCGACAGCAAACACCAACTTTTCGAGAATGTTCGAGCGCGTTCGAGCACACGCACGCACACACACGCACGCACACACAACACGCACGCACATCCAACATAACGGGGCTAAAATACTCAGGGCAAAACGGGACGAGCAGTAATCTTCCGCAAGTGTGATTTCTCACCCCGAAGAGGAGTGGAAGCCTATCCGACCGATAAACGATTCGCGTCCGCGTGGACTATCCTTCTCGTTTACACCGTCCGGGCTGGGCAATCCTGAATTTTAACCTGAACTTAAGTGTACGCTAGAATTTAAGTTAGATAGACGAAGGAAAATAGATCGTTCTCCTATTTGCTGGAGAACGTTCGCTCGCGCGCACAACAACTCACGCAAAGCACACATATAAAGCACACACACATACATTTATCAGACACATATACACACAGTCATATGACACACAGAGGAGGGGGAGAAAAATAAGAAGAAGAAAGAAGAGGACCATCAACTGAACCGCGAAACGCGAACGAAAGCATACGTACGCGGTATAACAGCCACCTGCGTACATAAGAAGTCATCACGATAAAGGACGCATTACGGACGTACAATCACCGATCGGCGGTGTTCTCGCGAGAAGCATCGCAACCAACAGCGACAGCAACGACTTAGGGAAGGCGCGATAGAGAAGAAGAGATCTGAGAGAGGACCCGGAAGAGGGAGTGGAGGAATCATAAGAGGAAGTTTCATGAGCCAGGCGGTAGGTAGCAGGGCTGGGAAGTCGCAGCAGGTGGCGAGTAACTGACGTTGCCCGCCGCCCACGTCGAAGCTCGGCACGGCGCGAGGATCGTTATCGTTACGACGATCCCGAGGCTGAAAACAGCGGCCGAGCGAGGAGAAAGGTAGGAAGGAACGGCGGCGAGCGCAGAGGTGTGCCGGCCGTCGAGCTGCTTACCGGAAGGGGTGCGAAAAAGCGGGCAAGCTGCGCCGGAAGGGGGTAGCCCGGGCTTCTCGCGAAGGCCTCAAAATTTCGGACGCGACGGCGGCCCTGGACCTGCGTGCCCAGACGCAAGCCCAACCAGACTTCGGCCAGCTAGACCACCAGCAGCCGCAGCATCACCATCAACAACAGCAACCGCCGCAGCAACAACAGCAGCAGCCACAACAACAGCAGCAACCGCAGCATCCGCAACAGCACAACCAAAATCCAGAGTCGCGTCCTCACCATCACCTGCCACAGCAGCATCATCATCAGCATCACCCGGGGAATCATCTCCACTCTGGCGATTCGGGGGGTGGGATAGGAGGTGGAGGAGGAGGCGGCGGTGGAGGAGGTGGCGGCGGTGGCGGAGGTGGCGGTGGAGGTGGCGGCGGCGGCGGAAGCGCCGGTGGTGTTGCTGTTGTTGCTGGCGGAGGACCGCCCGGACCCGAGCCGGACCGGTCCACAAGAATTCACGACGAAGAGGACGAGGACATCACCGAGCGGGAGGACGAGGAGGAGGACGAGGATCCTTGCAGTTCGCCAGAGCCCGATCTTGAAAACGATTCCGAACCCATGGAGATCCAAGCCTCGGCTGTCACCGCGGCAGCCGCGAACCTCCACGCGTTACGCCAACACGTATTTAAGATGTCGGATTACTGGCAGCAGCCGCAACGTGGTCCGCCTCAACATTCACCCGGGATACAGCATAGTCCCATCTCGAATTCGACACAGCATCAGCAGCAGGTCCAGCAGATGCACAGTCCGCTCGGACAGCAGCAGCAACAGCAGCAGCAGCAGCAACAACAACAGCAGCAGGCTGCGGTTTCGCAAGTACAGCAGAACACGAACGCGACACTCGGCCAAACAGCTAGTCCTCAACAACAGATGCAGCAACAACAACAGCAGCATGCACTGTCGATGAATCAGGCTAATCAGGGCCCACAGCATCAGTCTTCCCCGGCACCGACGACACCGTCACCACAGGCGGATCATCAGGGCGCCATTGCCTCCAGTATGGCCCAGAGTCTGCACAGCCTCGCCCAGGCACAACAAACAATGTCGCAGGCGTCAAGTCCATCGTTGGCGGTCCAGGCCGTCCAAGCGGCTCAGGCGCTCAATCAAAACCTGGGCCAAGCGCTAACACAAGCGCTTACGCAAAACATGCAGCAAAATCTCGGACAGACCTTACAGCATAATTTGGCGCAGAGTTTGACGCCGAGTTTGTCGCCGCAACAACAACAGCAATTGCTTAACCAACCGCAAAATTTAAGCCAAGCGAGTCAGAGCCTGCAACAGAACATCCAAAGTCAAGCGCAGAATTTGTCCCAGACGCTACAGCAGCAAGCGCAGAACCTCACGCAGAACCTTGGCCAGGCGCTTAACCAGCAAGCGTTACAACAACAGGCGCAAAATCTTACGCAGAATCTACAGCAAGCGCAAAATCTCACCCAGAATCTGCAACAGCAGGCGCTCAACATGGCTGGCACCATCGCGCAGAACGGTGGTCTCGCCGGTATGAACATGTCGGGCACTCAACAGCAGAATTCACAGAACTCCATGCTGAGTCCAGGCGCGACCAGTCAGGACTCCCACGATGCCACTCTCACGGAGAAGCTCGTCAACGAATTACAGGTGAGAAGCTACATATTGAATTGGAATCTCTGAATTTTTACATTCGCGACTCGGAAGTGAAAAAATTTGTTTCACCTCCGTTCTACACGCATACATTATGTGCGCATGCATGTACGTGTCTTTTTCTATTATCTTCCGCTCCGCGAGAGAAACGGACGGGTGTCTCGCGACTCTCCGTATCCACTGCGAGGAGAGCAGCGATAAATAACTAGGGCGAGGCGACCGCGATAAAAATACATAACGCACCGATAAATAGGGTCATTCACTCGCAAGCCGACAGACGCTGGACAATACTTTCGAGCGAGGTTTCTCTTCTCGCGGGGAAAAATATTTATTCAATGACGTTGTCGGATGACAACGTCGACGGGCTCCAAGTATCGCGAGATATCAAGGTCCCTCCTACATGTCGGTACTCGTTCGTGTAAGTAGCGCCGTTTCAACGCTTTACGAAAGTACGTCGCCTCGCTCAAAAATAAGGCACCTAGTTGAAAACGTGCATTACTAATGCAAATTCTCGTTAAACGACCAAATGCCGATTCTAATTTATCGTTCGTGTAAGACTGCTTGCAAATAACGTTTGCGCGGAAAATCGGCGGAATTTGAACGCGATGACTTTTCCGTTAATTTAGCGTCATCTTAGCGTTACAAAGTCACATGTCATCGACAATTTCGTCGGTTTGATTACGCGACTGTACCCAGATACGCTGACCACGGTTCGTATAGATACACAAATGCACGTACACGCACACATGCACATCAATAGAGTACGTTGACTTACTACATCGTACTGACTTACACGCTCGTACACGAGAGAGAGAGAGAGAGAGAGAGAGAAAATTTGCGAGTGAGAGTGTGAGCAACAGGGAGAGAGAGAGAGAGAATTTGCGAGTGAGAGTGTGAGCAACAGGGAGAGAGAGAGAGAGAGAATTTGCGAGTGAGAGTGTGAGCAACAGGGAGAGAGTGAGAGTGAGTGAGTGGGAGGGGGGGGGGGGGGGGTTTTTTAGAGAGAGAGAGAGAGAGAGAGAGACCGAGAGAGACCGAGAAAGCACGCACACGTCAAAGTAGCAGTGCGGTCCGCAAATGCGAACGCGGCCCACGCACACCAATGAGGGGAGATGCAGATACGTCGTCTCCCGGGGTTCTTGACCCGCGCAACACAGATAATACCATACGCATACGTCATACGGTACGCCGGGAAGATGTTACCAAGAAAATATCGCCGTGTTTCTGCGACGGCATGGGCCGCGGAGTTTCGATGAGGGAGAGAGAGAGAAAGGAGAGCGTGAGAATGCAAGAGAGCTAGAATGCGAAAGAGTATGAGAGAGAGAGAGAGAAAGATAAAAATCACACATCGTATCTCCCGACAGATAGCGGAACTTTGAGATCGCGTTAGCAAGTCTGTGAACATCGGTGATTTGTAATTAGAGAGAGACTATAAATATCGTTCGTGAGAAGAACCGAGAGAACCGTAGCTATAGTCGCGATACGATATACTCGAAGACACTGCGAATACTATCGTAAGAATCTCGTTTTGCATTAATGAGTAATTATTATTGCGAATACTGATATTAATTTACACGTGATCGGCCTCGATCGAGCGACTCCATAACTACCTTCTGCGTGTCCACACGAGATAGAAATATTTATTCCGTCACGCCGTTCTCGGCTTGTCACTGCCACGACAGAGCGCGCTTGTTTTTATATTCGAAGTAGCAATCGCGGACTACCGTTCGACGAAAAGAAGCTTTGTAGTAGTGACGGTTAGTAGCGTCAAAAGAACGACGAGGATCGGGGACTAACATGAGCTATCCTATCTTGCCTGATAGTCTCGTGCCTCTGCGGCGGGGCTTGGAGGTGCAGTAGGTGCCGGCGGTGGTGGAGGAATGGGCAACATCAGCGAACGCACCCTCGAGGAATGCTGGTCTACCCTGCAGCGAGTGAGTTGAACACTCAGCCCGTTCACAAAATCCTTTTTATTAACGCTCTCCCTGCCCGTGCGCGCGTACCTTAAGTTCCTTGCTTTCTCTCACTGACGGCCGAAGTTTTGTCGAAGCCGTTTTTTTTTCTTTTACATTTCATTTAACTTGTCGATCCTGCACGTCGCAGACGCGCTGCGTCTCGTCTCACTCATTGACATTATTTTTCTTTCATTTATCGACATTCAACACCATTCAGTTCGTTATATTCTGCCCGATTATGATTTCGCTTTCGCGCGAACTTCTCTGGAACGTCTCGCGATTGTTCTTGTTTCGTTTGCATCTCGATCGCTTTGCTCATTTATCTGTTCATCATTTTGATCTTGATGTTATCTTATTTTTTTTGTCTCTTTACCCACTGGCATGTGTCGTATATGTATCACCGTTCGTTTTTGTACCTCGTCAGCTGAATGTATCGCCTTGTTCCTGTGCATTGTGAAATAGTCTTACTCGTAGCTGACCGCCAGCGGCGGTTCGAACGATCCTCGTTCTCGCTCATGCTCGTATACTAACGAGCGTGTCGTTACATCATACTAGAGATTTAACGGATGACGCGTGGTATGCGGCGAAATGTGCGTTCCGCATCATAACGTTTAGCGCTTGTGTCACGCACGCGACGAGAAAGTACATCGATAAAGCGGCAATTTTTCGGTCGAGTGACTAATTGCACTCGTGTATCCGATCAACTTGTATCGTACAGTCGTTTGACACAAAATACATACGCGACTTCCTTGCGCGACTTTACGCCAATACTGCAAGCACGAAAGTACAAGAAAAGAAAGCGGCACTAACGAGCCCCGAATTACGTTAAACTGTCGACTGATGAACGGAGCGTGAGGTCCCGGGAAAAGAGAGAACAGCGCGGTAAAAAGGCAGGATACTTTCCCCTTCCTGCTGGAAACTTTAAAATTCTCAACCCCAGGACGTAACAACAATTTGTTTCGTTAAGTAGCCGCAGAGCTCTTTTGTTTTTGCGGCTTCTTTTATTTTAGCGGCGATAGCGCCGGCGGTTGGAGTGACGATGGAAAAGGTAACAGGAGGAGGTGGAAGGAGGCGATGGGGATGCAAGAGGGGGTTGCTCGAGCACCTCGTCCTCCCGCCGTGTTCTACCTCGTCCTTCCTTTTCTTCCATCGCCACCTTAAAAGCCGTCCCGCGCTGCGCGCGCGAAGCGAAACTTTCGGAAAATCGCAAAAACGCCGAGCGATGGCGAAGTTTCCACGTTTCCCTGAGATTTAATTAAAACATTCGCCTCCTTTGTGCCGTCCCCACGCACCGTTCGTGGACCGAACCGTCGAAGCGAGCCATCGTCCTTTCATTCTGTCCAAGCAACGAGGACTGATATGAGTACCTTCGATAGGCCGGACTTGATTCCTAATATTTATATTTTGAAGTTTATTTTACGGATTTTACTTCATCTTGCTGAATCAGTGTTATAAAATATAAAATATAACATAAAATATAAAAAATAAAAAAAATATAAAAATATAAAAATAAAAAAAACATAAAAAATATAAAAATATAAAAAATATAAAAAAATATAAAATATAAAAATATACATAGTATAAAAAAAATTGCTGTGGCTGACTGCGCGTAATTATGTTAATATCGATTCGAAATTGTGATAATAGAAAAATCTCAAGAAGCCACGTGTGTTTTAATTAAAGTCTATAATCTTACAATCTTTTTAATAAAATTTAATTAAATTGAATTGTTTAATTAAGGATTGATAAGAATAATACGTGAATGCGTTCAGCCGTTGTATCCGGCAATGATGCCACTCTGATAAAAAAATTTTGAGACACTTGAGGATTCATTGTGAGCTCGTGGGAAAGATGAAGGGTTCCGCGGATGTAGAGAGGACGAGACGAGTGCGTCGCGATATTACATAAACATTCGCGGAGAACCGTTCTCAGGGCCGGGGGTGCTGCACCCGCGTTTTTTTGTTCTA